GAGATCACGGAGCAGGCCGTCGGCGAGGCCGTCGGCGCCGCGACCGACGCGAGGCCGCATGGCCGCAGCAATCACGCTGATGAACGAGATGAGCAGCGAGTAGCGAGCCACGGCAGTTCTTTAGTTCCACAAGCTGGACGGTCCCATGTCGGCGCAGTCTCTTGCTTTACGTTAGCCCAGTGACTGGGAGCTTCGCAGCTCTCCCTCTCTCTCCCTGCTACGACGCGCCCGGCCCGTGAGAGGGAGAGAGACGTCGTGCAGGTCCCCCAAGGCTGCTGCTGGCGGGGTCGCGGCGCTACCCACAGCCAAACCGCAAAAGGGTTTTCGAGTCGCGCTGTGTCGCTTCAAACCCCCGACCGAACGGCGAGGAGCGCGGAGCAGGTGCTGTAGGGCCCCGCCCCGCCCCGCCCCGCTGCGCACTACTTTCCCTCAATGTTTGTCGGCCAGGTGCAAATTATTTGTCGCCGCAACCTCCTCCCCTCCCTCCACGGAGCCAGCCGGTGCCGCGGCAGCCTGCCCAGCGCGCCCAGGGCACCCAGTGCCAGGCGGTGCCAGGGCACTCAAAGGAGAGTCGTCTCGTGAGGAACGCGCAGCGTGTTGTGTTGCAATCCCTCACAATCTCTCATTCTGGATGGTTGGGTCCATTGGCACGTTCCGACGATCTTGAGCCTATAGCAGCGGTTCTCAACCTTTCTCGGCTCGCGACCCCAAATTTGTAGCCAAAAATTTCCGCGACCCCCAGGAAAAGTTTCACAACCCCACGGGACCCCTCCTTTAGCATGCCACTGCGTCTGATCCGAGCCGGGCATTTTGCTCCCTCAACGGGCAATTGGTCTTTGGACTTTCCTTTAGCATGCCTCTGTTACGGAGTGCGATTATCAGTCTTAGTTTGGGGGCAGTATTGTCTCAAAGTTGGCCAAAACGCTCAGAAATGTCTTTGAAAAATCATGTTTTGGGTCGATTTTAAGCAGCCACTGCGTCTGATCCGAGCCGGGCATTTTGCTCCCTCAACGGGCAATTGATCTTTGGACTTTCCTTTAGCATGCCTCTGTTACGGAGTGCGATTATCAGTCTTAGTTTGGGGGCAGTATTGTCTCAAAGTTGGCCAAAACGCTCAGAAATGTCTTTGAAAAATCATGTTTTGGGTCGATTTTAAGCAGCCACTGCGTCTGATCCGAGGCGGGCATTTTGCTCCCTCAACGGGCAATTGATCTTTGGACTTTCCTTTAGCATGCCTCTGTTACGGAGTGCGATTATCAGTCTTAGTTTGGGGGCAGTATTGTCTCAAAGTTGGCCAAAACGCTCAGAAATGTCTTTGAAAAATCATGTTTTGGGTCGATTTTAAGCAGCCACTGCGTCTGATCCGAGGCGGGCATTTTGCTCCCTCAACGGGCAATTGATCTTTGGACTTTCCTTTAGCATGCCTCTGTTACGGAGTGCGATTATCAGTCTTAGTTTGGGGGCAGTATTGTCTCAAAGTTGGCCAAAACGCTCAGAAATGTCTTTGAAAAATCATGTTTTGGGTCGATTTTAAGCAGCCACTGCGTCTGATCCGAGGCGGGCATTTTGCTCCCTCAACGGGCAATTGGTCTTTGGACTTTCCTTTAGCATGCCTCTGTTACGGAGTGCGATTATCAGTCTTAGTTTGGGGGCAGTATTGTCTCAAAGTTGGCCAAAACGCTCAGAAATGTCTTTGAAAAATCATGTTTTGGGTCGATTTTAAGCAGCCACTGCGTCTGATCCGAGCCGGGCATTTTGCTCCCTCAACGGGCAATTGTTCTTTGGACCTTCCTTTAGCATGCCTCTGTTACGGAATGCGATTATCAGTCTTAGTTTGGGAGCAGTATTGTCTCAAAGTTGACCAAAACAGTCACAACGGTTTTTCAAAGACATTTCTGAGCGTTTCGGCCAACTTTGAGACAATACTGCTCCCAAACTAAGACTGATAATCACACTCCGTAACAAAGGCATGCTAAAGGAAGGTCCAAAGACCAATTTCCCGTTGAAGGAGGACGAAATACCGCCTCGGGTCAGACGCAGTGGCTGCTTAAAATCGGCCCAAAACACGATTTTTCAAAGACATTTCTGACCGTTTTGGTAAACTTTGAGACAGTACTGCTCCCAAACTAAGACTGATAATCACACTCCGTAACAAAGGCATGCTAAAGGAAGGTTCAAAGACCAATTGCCCGTTGAGGGAGCAAAATGCCCGCCTCGGATCAGACGCAGTGGCTGCTTAAAATCGGCCCAAAACACGACCCCAGCTACCTCGCCGCGACCGCTTAAAATTTTTTCGCGACCCCACTTGGGGTCGCGACCCTAAGGTTGAGAACCACTGGCCTATAGCGCACTCTTATTACTCTCTTGATTTTGGCAAGAGCATCAAGTTGACACTCTGTCGGCGTTGTACGTAACTTTTGACAGCAAAGCCCCAGAGAGCGTAGGTTTGGCTCGCAGCTTGCGAGTCGGGGGGCCGGGCCGGCGAACTAGGGCGTCAGGGCGCTGCCAGGGCGCCAGGCGGGGACTGGGGACGCGGCGGGACAGGCTGCCAGGCTACCGAACCCGCTGCGCCACGCTGCGCCATCAGGCCATCAGCGACACTCCGCCGCTAGGGCTTTACGGCGTCGTGGTCCCCGCGGGGGTCACTCTCCGCGCCACTAGTGGCGAGCTCGCTGAAGGCCGGTAGCGGCGAGGCACGGCAAGGCCGGTAGCGGGGCCGGTGGCACCCAATGGACTGGAATCAACGCCGCCCGGTTCGACACTCTGGACACTCTGGACAGGCCGCGGACTTCAGCTAGGCGTATCTTAACCCAGACAAACTCCGCGCCACTACTATGGGCTAGTTGGCGCTGCCAGGCGGCGCTCACAGACATGATACCCTCGTGGTCATCGTTGCGGCGTTTACTTACTGATGTTACGCTCGTGTGTGTGTTTGTGTGTGTGTGCGTGTGTGTGTGTGTGTGTGTGTGTGTTGCGCGGTGTTTGGCTGCGTGCTGGCGGTGCAGGCCGTTAGATGGCGTGCCAGCCCCCGGCGAGCCCGGTGTGCCCGGCCTGCCCTCGTCGGGGTGCGCGGGGCTGCCGCGCTGCCGCACCCAAGACGGAAGTCTCCCGGACGCGCCCCTGCGCTGGAGACGGCGGCGCTGGGGAGAGGCAGGAGACGCGTCGGCGGCTGGGAGGGGGAGGGGAGTCCCCGCGAGGCGTCTAATGACTGTGGGAGCACGCCGCGACCCGCCCCGTAAACGGTGCGAGAGAGACAGGCAGTGATCGACGAAGGAAGCACTGTTTCGTTCGTGCTGCTGTGCGGGCCGCGCTACTTTTCTTCCTCCCCGGAAATCGGTCGCACCGACAAGACTGTGACGTCACCAAGGCGTCACGGCAGTGTGTGACTCGTCACGCCGCGGCCACACCGCGGTCACGGCCTTGATACAGTACTGCCGATGATGTATTCCGGGAAAAGGAGGTCAGCGTGCATTGGGTGGTCCCCGCTGCGCCACGCCACGCTGGGCCGGGCGGCTGGCGGCTTGGCTACCGGCGCGGCGGGCCGAGGGCCGCGGGGAAGGTGTTGGATTAGTTTATTATCGACGTCCCGCCATATATACTTCCCGGCTTTAATAAAGGGTTCATCAAGGTTGCCCGATTAAGCGGCTTTCTTGTTGCTGCTGTTTGTTGTTGTTGTTGTTGACGGCGAGCCGGCGCGCTCTTGATTTAGCCCGCACCATTAATAACGCATGATCGTTGCAAAGCCGCCGCGTGTCAAGCTTGTTGTCCCCCGGCGCCGCGCCTGCGCCGTGGGTGCGACTCACTGGCTGGGCAGGCGGGCGCCGTGAGGGTAGGCAGTTCGCACGCAGGCCTGTCGCCGGGACGGCATCCCTTGACTTAAGAGGCCAGGATCGCGTCTTGCCTGGTCGCCCGGCGTACAGAAGACAGTGGCGCCACTGTAAGAGGTACTGGGGCCAGGCGAGGCGGCCTGAGTCTCGCAGCCGGCAGCTTGGCAAGCAGCAGGCGCGACCAGATTGTGTCGAGTCAAAACGGAGGCTGCCTTGAGGCCTAACGGTGTGCCGGTCAGTCGCTAATCCCAGCACGGCGCGGCGCGGCGCTGCCCAGAGGGACCTTCCGGAAACACAGCGACTCCGGGTGCCTCCGCCGCCTCTGCCGCCTCTGCCTGCCGCGCGAACGGAAACGGAACGTCATCGGCGATGAGGAGGGCGGGGAGGGGCGCGGCTACTCGCGGAGCAAAAATACGGTGCGTTGCTCGCAGCGGCCCGGACCGGCCCGGCCCACGGGAAGGAAGCTATGTCTCGCTCGCTCTGGGGGGTGCGAGGGAGACAGCGGGGCTGATTGCGCGGCGCGCGGGGCGTGGGACGGCGTGCAATCAGGCCGCCTCGCCGGGCAGCAGCGCGGCGGTCTTGGCGTGCACTGGGCTCGGGGCTGCTCGCCTAGGCTCGATGCCCACTGACCGTTCGCTTCAGCCGAAAGAGCCCCGCTTTTCCAGCCTGCCACGCCACTGTCGGCGCGTTGTCGGCGTGCCTGGTCGCCTGTCTCTCTCGCACTCCAACGGAACGTGTCCGAGTACTACGAGTGCGAGAGAGGCAGAACTGATGACGGCCTCAGCGAGTGTTATTGAGTCACTCTCTCCGCGTCACGACGACCAAGCGACCAAACCAGGCGGACGACAAGCCGACTCACGTGCAGTACCTGCAGTGCTACCTGCAGCACAACCTGGAATACCTGCACTATTACCTGCAGAGCTATACCTAGAGTACTACCTGCAGTTCCTGGAGTACCTGACTCGAGGGGTGACCCACTGTAAAATTTTGTGTACAATGATTGTGTGAATGTGCACGAATGTGCAAGATTTCTTGCTTTTTTGCCACACATGTTGCCTACTTACAGGCGTTTTTTGCCTCCTGAATGTGGAATGTGGTCAAATTTTGTACAACGAATGTGGAAAGCTGTTCCCCCCTCGACCTGACTCACTTCTCGTTGTCTTTTTGTTCCAGCCTCATGGAGCAGCCCCCACGCTGGATTTAGCCCCCGAGACAAGCACTGTGTAAGTTGTTTTCGAAAAAAACTGAACTTTAGGAAAAGCGGCTCTGGGCGAGGCGAAATGGTGACAATGTGGCGATGTGGTGATGATGTTTCGCATACTGCACGGCGGCGGGCGCGGCGGCACGGTACAGTGCAGCGGCGGGCATGCAATTTGCGACTCGGCGAGACGAAGGAGACCGAGGCGGCGCAGCCGTCATTATTTCGGGACTTGCCATGTTCAGCGAAACGGCCAAAACGTTTGCCTTCATTACCGCCAGCGCCACTTCGCGCTGCAACGCCCTGCACCCCTGCACCGCCCTGCACCGCCCTGCACGTGCTGCGTGCAGCCGACAAAGGCGTATCACACGTCGTCAGACGGGCAAGGGGCCTCATCCCCACACAAACAAACACACACACTCACACACACACGCGCACGCACACTGGCGGGGCGGGGACCGTCTTCTTCCTTCCGTTAGGAATCTCCTATTTGGTAAATTGAGGCGATCCCTGTGCGAAAGCCAGTCATCAAGCCTTTTGCTGGGCTGCTCCTGTGCATGCGGGCGGGGCGGGGCCTCGCGACCGCCCCAGGGCCGGACCGGGACCGGGCTACTGTACCGCTGCTTGGCCCCGTGCATGCTGCACAAGATGCACCGCGTGTCCGAGGCAGCCCGGCGGGGCAGCTGGTCCAGCCATCGGGCCCGGCCAGTGCCGGAGACGTCACAAGTTCAAGTCCACACGCTGCTTCGCCTCGTTTCGGCGCTGCGAAACGAAACGGCGCGAGGCGGTGCTTCGCTTTGCAGTGTAACGCCTTGCAGTGCAGTGCCACGCACTGCCACGCACGCCGGGCGCGAAACCGGAGCCGCACTCGTCATCGGACGCCTAATTATTTTCCAGTGCCGCGGCCGCAGAGGCCGAGGCTCGCGAGGAACCGTAAACAAGCCCGGCCGGCCAGCGCGCTTGACTCCAGGCGGCGTAGCGGCGCAGCGACGCAGCCAGCCGGGCAGGCGACGCATTTTATTCGAATGAACTCTTTTCCCGCGCAGAAAAAGGAGGAAGTGAATGAAATTCATTGCGCATGGCCATGCACTGCCTCACGGAGACCAGCCCAGCCGGGCGATGCTGCGCCCCGAACGGCGCGCCGCTTTTTCGTTTCTTTTTTGCGCGCCGTGTCGTCTGCATCCCGGACCATCCCGGACGCGGCGGCGCGGCGGCCGACTTGCGCAACCAGGAGTCCGTCCCGGCCCCGTCGTTATAAAGCCTGCCTCAGCAAGACAAGGCGCAGAGCGGGGCACGCCGGCACGGCGAGGCGGCCGGGGCGCCGGGCTTTCCACTTGGCGGGGTGCCCCAGCGTGCCGCAGTGCCCAGTGGCGTGCGCAGAAATTTAGAAAGGGGGGGGTCAGGCCACGCTTTTTGCCTACTTACAGGGGGAAAGTGACGCAATTTGCCTACCTTCCAGGCGGCTGACCCCCCCTGACCCCCCCCCCCCCCCCCCCCCCGCGCACGCCACTGGCAGTGCCCCGCGAACGCCGAGGCCGCCGAGGCGACGGACGTCATTTGGTTGTGACCCGTGCCGCCGGCCATTGGATGAGCGCAAGGGCCCGCCCCGCCCCGCGTGTCACAGGCATCGCGCAGACAATGCTCCCCGACGGCCGGCGCGCTTTCTTTCTGCCTCACGTCTCGATGTCTCGATCGCTAAAGGCTAAATGCGCGCCTTGTTATTGCCAGCCTAGCCCACGTATTATCCGCCTCGGCCGGGAGGGAGAGAGAGATACAGAGAGAGTTAGTCAGTGCGAGGTCACGTAATTTCATTACGTACGCCCTTTTCTATTTACTGTTACTTTTTTAAGTTTACTTTAATTGGACTCACCGGGAGAGGCTCGGTGCTTCCCCTCGACGGGGTGCGGCCGGCCGCTGCTGCATCCCGTGCATGCTGCGAGGCGCCCTCCCCGCGACCTCACGCAACGTGCTCTCTCCCTCTCTCGCTCGCACTGGTGGGGCGTCCCGTAAGGGTGCGAGAGAGGCAGCAGTACGGAGTACGGAGGGGCCACGGTAGCGGCGGCAGCACACTGCCGAGCCCACGGCCACCCAGCCCGGCCGCGTCATCGCACGGCGGCACCGCCGGCACCGCCACTCGGCCCTCGGGACGCGCATCGCCACGCCCAGCACGCGGCAGCACGCCACTCCGTGCTCTCCGTGCTCTCGTCCTCCATCATCCGGCTTTCCAAATGGGCGGCCCGGGTCGGTGCAGCAGGCCGACAACAGCGGCAGCAGCCCCCCGGTGCAGCTTCATTTGGACGCACCTTAATGCACCTAGCGTTGCCCCAAAACGGCGGTGAGGCGGGGCGGGGCGAGGCGGGGGGAATCAGGGGGCAGGGCCGGGCTGCCAGCTTTGGCTTTCCGTCCGGGGCAAGGCGTAGGCGAGGCGAGGCGCGGGGCTTAGAGCTAGCCGCTTTGGGCGTGAAAGTCCTTCCCATTGTGGGGCTTCCCTCCCGCTGCGTCCCGCTGCGTCCACGGCCCGACGCCGACCCCGGCCCAGCCTAGCCTTTACACGGCCTACCGTGTTCACCGGGAGCGATCCCCATCCCCGGTGAGTTAAGTTCCATGCTATAGGGACGAAAAAACACAACACCACCAACTTCCAATTTTATTAAATTTTTCGGTGCTTCACGAGCGATTTCCGTGACTCGCGCGACCCCGACATGTCCCTGGGCCCTCTGGCCCCGTACCGCCCCCGCGCCCCGAGGCAACAGGGCTTTCCCCGGGACAGGCGGCAGCGTCGACGGTAGCAGGGCAGCCTGGGGGGTCCCTCTCGCACCCACGCGAGGCGCGCCACGAGTGTGACAGAGACTGCCTGCGGGAGGAGTACATTGGATTTGAGAGAGACAGCTCATCAACGCTAACGCGGGAACAGAGGGCGCCGTGACGGACAGGGCCGAGGCAGTGTGGCGGCAGTCTGGCGGCAGTCTGGCGGCACCGCGCCGCAGAGGTGTGGTTGCGTTTAGGCAAACGACGTATCATTTCGCGGGCCTGTCTGCTTTCTCGGCCAGGGCGGCCAGGGCGGCCAGGTCACTGCCCCACATTCGGAGTGGAGTGGAGCGGTGCGTACGCAGGGCCTCGGCGGGGCCTCGGCAGGGCTGACCCGGCGTTCGTTATTGGGCGGAAATCCGGCCGCCGCGCCGCCGCGACTCGCTTCGGGGTATTCAGGGGTGCCAATCACGGACCGGCGTCGACGCCGCCAGGCTGGCGCACTGTGCGCACTGCTGCCGCCGTGTCGCCGAGGCGACCACCACCGCAACGAGTGCTGAAACCATTACCGAAACGAGACCGACGTGCGAAACCATTCTCGGCGCTGGCCTCAACGCGCTGGGCTGCGCGACGTGTCACGTCGTGACGTTGATGCTGGCGGCGTTGGTGGCGTTGGCGGCGTTGGCAGCACTTGTCGGCGGCTCGGTGCTCCGCATGCTCCGCGTCTCCGCGTGCGGCGTCGAGCCTGCGCGTTGATTAAAAGCGTAGCCGCCACGTGACTGACTGCAGCCCAGCGGCCCAGCGGCCCAGCCTCCGAACGCGGCGGGCAGGGGCGGGACCGGTGTCCGTCCGTGTTCGTTTTAAACGGTTCCGCTGCGCCCCGCCTCGGCCCCGCCTGCATTTCTTCGCCATTCAGTCAGTCCATCCTCGGGAGACGAGACGGGCGGGGAGGGTCCGAGAGAGACACGGTGCCGCGCGGTGCGGTCCGGAGGCCTTTGCCGCCCAAGTCGCCCAACAATACGGCCGCCCCGCCGCCAAGCGCAGCCTAGGCGCCATCACGGTGGCCACCACGCGGGGCCGCTCTGTCTCTCTCGTACTCACGGACGCTCCCTTTAGGTGCGAGTGAGACAGGGCGACGATAAAAGACGCTGGGAATCAGTCGGCGGCTCGGCGTGGCCCGGCCGATGCGTAGATCAAGGAGGACGAGACGAGACGAGATGGAGAAAATTGGCCGCCGGGCTCAAGATGTAAGAGTGGGTAATCGGCGTGCTGGCGCCGCGGCGCGTCTCGCGGGGGGAAGGGGGGGGGCTAGCGCGTTTAAGGAGTCAAGGCCGCGGGGCGGCGATCGGAGCCGAGGCGGGCGGGCCGGAGCCGAAGGGGCAGACAATTATGTCACCTAGCCACGCCCCCGGCCAGCGCCACAGCGCCGCGAGCAGCCCGTCAAAGCGCACCGCTCCGCGGCCCTACTGCGATCGAGCTTGGGGTTAGAGGAAGGTGCCTCCCCATGGCCGCGCTCGAGGCCCTGATCGAGGCCCTACTCGATGCCGTGCTCGAGGCCCTGCTCGGGGTCTTGCTCTCCCCAGCGCGACGAATCGAACGCGTTGTTCGGCGGGCTCGCCGAGAGCAGCTCGGGGGCGTGCTTGCTGCGCGGTGCTGCGCGCCTCCGCGCACCCAAACATGGGATTAGCTTTTAGCAGGAAGGTTGCTTACGTGCGCCATCGATGCATGCCGTACTCGCGCACCTCTTGCGGCACTAGGAAGAAATTGCTTTTAATTTGATGACTTTTATCTGACCCTGCTTGCGTCACAGCCCCTCGCACCACGTCGTGCAATCATGGCTCCGCGCGGCCGGCCGGGGCGGCGGGTCGGCGTCGGCGGCGGTCGCCACCACGTATTCGCGCTGGGCGTGCTCATGGCGCTCGAGAGCTTCTTCCATTACCGCGCGGCTCCTCGACGAACTCGCCCCACAATCGGACCGGGTTGAAATCGCCGCGGCCAAACGGCCCTGCTCTCGCCGCGCCGCCGCGTCGCCCTGTCCCTCTCGCACCCGCGCCGGACGCCCCGCGAGTGCGAGAGAGACGGCGCGGCGAGAGCACTGTTGACGCCGTAACGACGCACGACAGGACGCCCCATTTGTTTGGGTTACTCGGGGCTGCACGGCCCGCATGGCCAGCACGGCCGCCACCTCCCGGGCACCTCCCGGGCACCTCCAGCGACGCAGCCAGGTCCTCAATAATGACCGTGTGTACAGTGGTTAGACACCCGGCCGCCCGCCCC